GACACAATGCGGTGCTTGCACATGTATGTTTGATTTATTTCACTTATGAGTATGGTCTCTAGTTGTGACCATTTAAATATAAAGGACTCGAGTTTATCTTTCTTTACAGCTGAGTAATATTCCATTATATAAAAGTATCATAATTTTCTTATCCAATCCTCAGTGGATGGACATTTCTCAGCACAGTTTTGATCACGCCTTGTAAAGGCACTAGCAAAGGAGGACTTCTAGAACCGCTTCAGGAAAGTGCCCGGAAGTGTGGGGTGAGTGTGTCGGAATCGAGGAGTTGAGGGGAGTTAGGGGCAAGGTGTTTTTTACTCTAATAAATTTTAAAAATTTAAATATTTACCATATACTTTGATCACCCCGTGCCTATTTATTAGTGAGCTTCCCCTCCTCTAGGACACAAAACCCAACACTACAATTCTCAGGAGGAGGTTTAACTGGCTCCCTTAGAGGGTGCAGTCCACGGGTAACTGGCTCCAAGGCAGGAACATCATGGCGGAAGGGCGTGGGGTCAGCCGCTCAGGTCATGGTGGCCCAGGGGGCCAGCACCGGAGAGCAAGGGGCCAGGACCAGATATGGTGCCCAAGGTCACACCTCCACAACCCCCAGACACACCCAGGAGTGCACTCTACTAACCTGCAAGACGTTTTTTTGTCTTTCTGAGACAGGGTCTCCCTACGCAGTTCAAGCCGGCCTTGAGCTCACTTTGTAGCCCAGGCTGGTCTCAAACTTGCAGGGATCCTCCTGCCTCAGCCTCCCGAGTGCTGGGATTATAGGCGAGCGTGACCACATCCAACCAGCATTTTCTAATCCAATGAAGCTGACGTATCAGGATTCACAGTCACGTCTATACACGTGTGTACACACATGCACACACATATACACACATGCACATGCAACACACATACACATGCGTACATGGCCCACGGTGCGTGCTTACACTCACACATCACAACATGTGCTGCACACTCCCCTAGACATCCTCACACACGTATGCACACCACACACGGACACACGCATGCAGAGCACAGCACGCACGCAGGCTGGCTACCTGTGGCCCCCTCCTCGGGCTCCTTGGAAGAGCTGGAGCTGAGGGGAGGGAAGCAGAGGAGAGCACAGAGAGAGAGGTCAAGGTCACCACGGCCACCTTGGGGAGGCAGGGTGGGGCGCAAACGCACCGCGCGGTCTCAGGAGCAGGGAGAGCCGAGGCCAGGGGCAGCTCAGCGAGAGGCCCTGGAGGACGGTCGGGACTGACCACAGGGCTGCGCGGTGGCCGTGAGGAGTGGGACGGAGAGCAGCCAGTGGCCGTCGGAGCTGGCCGGGGACCCTGAGAGCTTGGGGTCAGACGGGCGTCCGGGTGTCAGGGGACGGCAGGGCGCAGGCGCGAGCGACGATCTCTACCTTTGGGGCGTGTCGTCAGGAGCTGCTCCTGGTTTACAGAAGAGGCGAGGAGGGCGATGAGCGGTGTCTGGCTCCGCCACCCCCAGCCGCTCCGCGCTCCGGGACCAACCGCACCGGGCGTATTTGTAGACGAGGTAGGCAGCGAGCAGGACGATCACACCCGAGACGACGGGGAGCGCGATCCCGGGGGCCCCTGGGGAGAGACGGCAGGCAGGCCCAGCAGCCCGACGCGCCCGGAACGCCGTCCTGCTCGTTGGCACCTGGCCAGAGCTGCCCACTCACATGCGGGCTCTGTCCACGGGCACCCAGCTCCGCGGCAGAGAGGGACGCCCTGCCCACCGCGCAGCGGGCCTGCCCCGGCCCGCCCGCTTACCTGGCCCCTCTCTGCTCCTCCGGGGAGACGTCGTCGTTGCTTCCGTCGTACTCACAGCGTGCAGTTCTTGAGTAAAAACAGGAACATCAAGTGGTAGAACAGTAATCTCAGGTCAGAGCGTGGACGATCATGTTACAGACTCGCTAGATTGTTTGCAAAGGCAAATCTACAGGGGGCAAGTATAAAGCCCCGCTCATACCATACATCAACCTGGGGAGGACTGGGGGGTGTTTTGTTTTATCTCTTATTTGTGGAAAGAAAGCAACTAGAAGCCGGGTAATCCCAGCACTCGGGAGGCTGAGGCAAGAGGATCATTGTGAGTTCGAGACCAGCCTGGGCTACACAGTGAGCTCATGGCCAGCCTGAACTGCACAGCAAGACCCTGTCTCAAAAAAAAAAAAAAAAAAAAAAAGAAAGAAAAAAGAAAGCAACTCGAAGCAAATGTGGTTAACTGAATAATTACAGTTCAGGGAGGTGGATGTGTGATTGTTTTTGGTTTGGTTTGGTTTGACTTGGTCTCTGGAGATTTCACCTTGGGGCTCAGGCTGGCCTCAAACTCACAGTGATCCTCCTGCTTCAGCCTCCTAAGTGCTAGCATTATAGGCATGCACCACTATGAGTCACTGTTATATTATTATGATTTTTTTTTTTTGGTAGCAGGACTTGAACTCAGGACCTTGTGCTTGCCAGGCAGGCGCTGTGCTGCTGAGCTATATCCCCAGCCCACTATTGTGATTTTAATTTTAGGATAGTGTTCAAATTTTTCAAAAGAGGAGGCTGGGCATGGTGGCACATGCCTGTAATCCCGGCACTCAGGAGGCTGAGGCAGGAGGACTGTTTCGAGTTCTAGACCAGCTTGGGCTACAAAGTGAGCTTAAGGCTGACCTGAACTGCATAGTGAGACCCTGTCTCAAAAGAACAAAAAAAAATTTTTTTTTTCAAAAGAAAGGAAATTCTCCACTCTCTTACCAGTTGGTGAAAGGAAAGATTTCTGAGTTTTAGTTCTATCTAAGAAAGAAAACAAAACAATATGAGACACTGAGAAAAATGACCAGAGATTCCAGAAAGGGTCTGACAACAAGGTCAGAGATGCGCTCAGCATCCTGTGCCAGGCTGCCCCAAGGGGGCGTCCTCCCCAGGGCCCGGCGGTGCCCTGGAAGACCGCACGGCCCCTGCACCCTCAGGACAGCTCCGTGCCCAGCTTGGTGGGACTGCAGGCGGGTCCTGGCACTCGCCACCCTGTCCCTTTTGGTTACAGACACTGTTCTCAAACTGTTCATGACCACCGATGCCAGCCCTCCTCTTCGGGAGTCACAGAGGTGGTCTGGGGCACGCGTGGGCACTGCAAGCCCGCTTTCCTGGAGAGAAAGGCGTGGAGCCTACGGCTGTGCCACCCTGAGCGACTGGTCTTTGCCCGGGTGGACACTGACGGGGTCAGCCTGGCTAGCACTTGCAGGACAGAAAGACACACAGAGACCAGGTCATATGCCCGGGGCAACAGGTCCAGAGTGGGTCTTAACTTGGGTCCCTCTGACTTCAAAACCCTCCTCAGAACCTCCACACCTCCGTAAAGGTCACTGGGGATCAGGGTCAGCTCTGCGTGATTCTGCTTTGGAAATTCGGGGACCTTTGTTGCTGCCCTGTGGGACTACGAGGTCTGGTCCCGGGGACAGACCTAGACAGCAGCTAAACACGCAGGCCCGGGCACCAGGGCGCGAAGGGGACCGGCAGAGCCGCCGTGGAAACGACTGTGATGGCTCCCCAATACACACAAGCCGGAGTCCCCCATCCAGCACCCCGGCCGTTCTGGCCGCTCAGGCTGGGCACGAGCCCCACCTGTTCTCCGGAAGCTCCCGAGAGAGAGGGGCGGGCGGGCGGCACGTCAGGGCGAGGGGCCAGCGCTGTGGAGGGGTCACTCACCATCTCCACTGAGGACTGCGTGGCGGGGGACGCACAGCCCTGCAAGAGAGACCCGTGGGACCCGGTGCCCGCCATCCGCCTGCGCGGCCTGGGAGCCGGGCTCCTCTCTGGAAGCCAGGGGAGGCAGGTCCGCGGCCTCCCTCTCCCCGCTCCTGAGTGGGGGCTTCCTCTTTCTCTGCTCCGGTCCCAGCTCCCCCTCTGTTTCCCGGGTGTTCTGTTTTGTTTTGTGTTAGCTGTGCTTTGGACCAAACCCTGCTTTCACACTGAGCTGAACTCCCAGCCCTTTTACCGTTTTGAGACAAGAGTTTGCTACGTGGCTGCCTCGCCCGGGCCTGGAACTTGCTTTCCTCCTTTGTCCCTCTCAGCTGCACCCCCCTGGCAGAATACTCAGAGCTCCACGCTGCCCTCCCACCCGGCCTACCTCCCTCATCCCTCTTGGAAACAAAACTGGAAGCCAGGCGTGGCGGCACACACCTGTCATTCCATCAGTCAGGAGGCTGAGGCAGGAGGATTCCCAAGAGCAGCAGGCCAGCCTGGGCTACACAGTGAGTTCAGGGCCAACCTGAACTACACAGGGAGACCCTGTCTCCACACTCTTCCCCCAAAAAAGAAAGTCTGGGTTATTTTGAGGGAAAAGCAGCAAACAGGAGAGAATACGTGTGTCACAAACGTGGCAGAGAGCCAAGGGAAGTGGGGACACGACTGGCTTCTAGAAAAGAGGAAATGTGTGCCGTGCCCAGCGCTCGCTCGCTCTCTCTGGTGTGTGCCTGACAGAAGGAAAGTCACTCTTTGCCGGGCGTGGTGGTGCACGCCTGTAATTCCAGTGGTTGGGAGGCTGAGGCAGGAGGATTGCCGCAAGTTTGAGGCCATCTTGACCACACTGCCACCCACAGCCCACGCGCGACGTGAGGCGACCCTGCTGTCCCCAGGCACTTACGAACACAGAGCCAGAGCAGGAACGGGAGGCCCATGGTGCCCGCCTTGGCCTCTTCCAAGATTTCTTCCGCTCTGCCCTTTGAGTCGAGCCAGGATGCCGGCTCTGCCCTGCAATCGGCACGGACAGCTGTACTTCAGGCTCTGAACCCTCTGAGCCCACCCACAGCTTCTGTGCGGCAGCCACTATCAGGAAATGAAATCTCGGTTTCAACACTCACGGCAGGCACACGCTTGCCTCCTGGGCCCTCCCGTGGCACAGGGAGGATGCAGGCCCCTGCTGCCAAGGCATGTCCACAATCAGGCCAGAGGCCGTGAGAAATTCCTAGTCAAAGGCCAATAACAGGGGCTGGGGATTTAGCTCAGTGGCACAGCGCCTGCCTGGCAAGCGCAAGGTCATGAGTTCGATTCCCAGTACCAGAAAAAAAAAAAAAAAAAGGCCAATAACATTATCCCTTCCAAGTCTGGCATGGCGGTACACACCTGTAACCCCAGCACCTGGGAGGCTGAGGCAGGAGGGTCACTGCCAATCCAATCAAACTGGGCTCCCTAGTGAGTTCACGCCCATCCTGAACTGCATAGTGAGACCCTGTCTTACAAAAAATTATCCCCTTCACACGGTAACAGAATAGCTGGACCCACGGCAATGCAGAATAACAGCCGTGCACGCCTTCCCCACAGCTGGGTTTTCTGATCAGCAGATGTAAGGGGATGCAAATGTGTGAAACTCGGGTCATCTTGGGACAGAGCTGGTCACAAACAGGTGAGAAAGGCCAGAAGCACCACACAAGGGAGGGGAGCCGGAAGGAGACAACAGGCCTGCGGCAGCGTCCCCACACTGCGGCACAACACCAAGAGGAACCGCTGCGAGGAGAGAGGGCTTCCTCAGGCTCACGGTTCCAGGGGTTGCAGTCCACGGCCGCTGCAACGGCCATCGGCCTGAGGGGGAGGAGCGTCGTGAGGGCGGGTCAGCAGGCGGCCAATCACCTCATGGTGGCCGAGGAGCAGCGAGAGCAATTGCACCTCAGAGAGGGGTAGGGCACCAGACACAGCCCCCAGGGCCACCCCACCACTTCTGCCAGGCAGGTCCCACCTGCTGTACCTGTGACCTTCCATTTTTCTCTTTGCTTATTTATGTGTTCTGAATTTGGTGAAATTGATGTACTAGTTTGATAATTTCAATTTTTTTTTTAAGCTTTTGGCTTTCTGTGTGGAGTTTTTGTTTTGTTTTCTTTTGCAGTACCGGGGATCAAACCGGGGCCTTCATGCTGAGCTAAGCCCCAGACCTTTCCACAGGAGTCTCTGTAAGTCACAAAGTTGCCCAGGCTGGGCTCAAACTTGTGAACCTTCTGCCTCAGCCTCCCAGAGTGCTGGTATGACAGACATGTGTCATTGGCTCTTTAGAAATTTTAAGTGGAGTGCTATGCAATTTAAAAAGAAAAAAACCCCTAAGTTTTAAAAAGTGATACCGCCGGGCATGGTGGCACACGCCTGTAATCCCAGTACTCGGGAGGCTGAGGCAGGAGGATCGTTGGAAGTTTGATACCAGCCCGAGCTACAAAGTGAGCTCAAAGCCAGCCTGAACTGCATAGCGAGACCCTGTCTCAAAAAGACAAAAAAAAAAAAAGTGATACAACTGGGCGTGGCACATGGCTGTCACTGCAGAAGCGGGAGCATCTTCACAAGTTCCAGACCAACCTGGTCTACGTGGCGAGTTCAAGGCCAGCCTGGCCTATATATCAAGGCCTTCTCTCAAACAAAACAAAACAAAACAAAACAAAAGTATTATTCACAACAGCCGAAAGAAGGAAATAGCCTAAGAGTCCACTGACGGATGGGCAGACAAAGTGTGGTGTCTACATACAAGGAAATACTACTCAGCATTCAAAAGGGAGGAAACCTGGGCATGATGGTGCATGCCTGTAGTCTCAGCTCCTGGGAGGCTGAGGCAGGAGGGTACAGCGTTCAAGGCCAGCCTGGACAACTTAATGAGACACTGTCTCAAAATAAAAAATGAAAAGGGCTGGGAAGGTAGCTTGGCAATAGAGTGCGTGCCCCCAATGTGTGATTTCAATCCCAGTACTGGAATAAACAAAATGAAAAGGACAGAAACGCTGGCGCTACAACATATGCGAGTCTTTTTTTTTTTTTTTATACATACACAGGGTCTCACTGTGGAGCCCAGGCTGACCTTGAACTCATGCTGATCCTCCTGCCTCAGCCTCAATAATTAAATAGTACGAAAAGCCTCTCCCCTCTGCCTCAGCTATTTCAAAGCTTCCACCACCACCCGGTGGCTGCCGCAGAAGACAACGCAGACTGGAGGATCTCACTGCGGCAAAGAAGCTGTGGGCAGCCCTGCTTTCAGGGAGAAGGAACAACGGGACAGGAGGGGCCGTGCCCCGGGGGATGAAGCGGTCCAGCCCCTGCCTCAATGTCACCTAAAGAAAAGAATACACACAAACAAATGAGAAAAAGAAAAAAAAAGAAAAGCGCCAGGCCTGGTGGTGCACACCTGTAATCCCAGCACTTGGGAGGCTGAGGCAGGAGGATCGTTGCAAGTTCGAGACCAGCCTGGGCTAGAAAGTGAGCTCAAGGCCAGCCTGAACTGCATAGCGAGACCCTGTCTCAAAAAGACAAAAAATAAAAAAGGAAAAGAAAAGAAAAGCAAGCCTGTTTCTCATATCCAGTCAACTATAATCCTGGGTGGAAGAATCATGGTGATGGTGTTTCGGTCCACGGCAGACCAGGTCTATGATGATGTCCATCCGACATCAGCAGAGCTGGTACAGCCCTACGAGCTCACTGCCATCATCCTGTCCTGGCACGAGCGTCCCTGTGCCTCCTGGGGGCTGCGGGTGGGGACAAACCCACTGCCCTGCCTGTCCTACGGGGCACCGCACACACCACCGTGCGCAGCACCTAACAAGGGGACTGGGTTCCCGGCCGGAGACTCGCCGAGCTCGCTTCTACCATGACTGCGCATGCTCTTTTTCTGCTGTAAATCACTTTTGACCGTGAGGAACGTGCTGCACCAGGCCGGCCTCAGCCCTGCGCGTCTCGTGTCCAGCACCTCTCTGACTCCCGTGCCTTCCTCCAGGGCTCCTTTTAATCTGGTGCCCTTCTGTTCATGGAGGGGCGCGAGAAGCAGGCTGTCCTATACACAAGGGGTGCACAGAATCCACGCTGAACGTTTCGGCTAAAAAAAATTAGGGCGAGAGACACCTTGCCATGAGCCCCCCTCAAAATCCTTGTGTCGCTCCAGAGGCACCCATCCCAGCATTCCTGCCGCTGTCGGCCACAGCTCTGGAGTCCTCTTTCCACAGTGTCTTTCCTTGCCCTGGTGCGGCTGCCTTGATGTCCTGAATCGATTCAGAACGTTTCCCTCCCGTGGTCTTTTGACTTTGGGGAACAGCCAGAGCCTCCCGGTGCCATATTTGGTAAATAAAGTGGACGAGGACACAGCGTTCTGTTTTCATGAGCACCTTTCCCTTCGAGGGTGCTCGGCAGCGCCATTCCCCGTATTTTTGATCACAGCCCGCGAAGACGCAGGGAGGACTCCAGAGCTGCTGCAGAGAGCGGCGAGAACCCGTAAGTGTGCACCAGCAAGGGGGCGGGGCCCAGGGGGGGACTAACAGCGACGTGTCTCTCACTGTAAAAACTTTTAATTAAACATTCCTGCCGCAGTTTGATCACATCTCGCACGTCTGGCGTGGGAGTTCGGCGGCATGAGGCATGTTCAGGTGGCGGTGAACGTGTCCTGAGGCAGGGAGAGCTCAGAGCGGGCCTGCAGGGCCTCCGCCAGGGCTGCAGCCCACCAAACCGGGCTCACGGCTCAAAGGAGTCGGGAGGCAGAGGGCACGGGGCTGTGAGCGGTGCCCCAGCCTGGCACCCACACCCGCGTCTCTTCCCGTGGGGCCCCTGGTGGCTGTGTCCCCGCCTGGGCACAGTGGGGGCGCAAGACCCTGTCCCGTGTGGAGGGCGGCCCGCTCAGTTCTCCAGGACACCAGCCTCCTCACAGCGGCGTCGCGGCAGCTCGGAGCCCCAGCCGGCTGGGCAGCTTGATCTCTGTAGGGATCCGCTGGGTTCTTGCGGCACCCCGGGAAGGAACGGCAGTGAGAATGAGGGAAAAATAGACAAGAGACAAAAGGCTGGGGTCAGGTGGAGAAGGAGAACTGCCTAAGACCAGCAGAGCATTTATGTATACCCTCCAGAGGTTGGTTAATTTCCACCTTGCTGCCCAGCAATCAGGTAACAAGTTACAATGGCTTGTTTATGTGCTTCCAGGAGCTCCCGTGTTCTTGGGCTGGCCTCGTCCTGCACCTGTAATCACCTTCCAGCTTCCGCGGCTCCTGACATCTCCCTCTTCTCTGCTTTGGAAATGATGGACGGTTAGCCAGAAAGATTATGCTTGGAGAATACGGTCCCAACACCCCAAAGAGCAGGCAGCTGCCCGTCTAGTTGGCAAAATGTCCAAAGTTGTTGGTGATCTGAACCCTTCACAGCTCTTACCATTGCAATGCTCATTCACACATCTTGTGGTAATGCGTTTCTGCTGGATGTTTAAGACCAAGTTAAGATGGGACCCATATTAATCCTTTTTCCTATCCATCAAGGTCAGTTACGTCTCCTCAGGGTTGCCTTGGGACCACGCGCAGCACCTCTAGATCCACTGTCAGTGTCAGCCCTCTGGATGAGTCACGGCCACTGCTTGACCAAGTTGCTTTCTGGAAAAGCTTGAGAGACCTTTTCTCTCTGGGTGACTCTCCTTAGGCACACTACATCCTCGAATGGCTTTCCTTGGTGGTCCCATAATCTCCTTGATCAGAAAATCAGGGGCTCAACCGAGTCCTAGGATGCCATAGCAGAGGTTCTCTCCTGCCCTGGGTTTACTCTGATCCCAGAGGGCTAGGGCCAAAATATTGACTCTCCTCGTAGCCCATTTATCTTTCCAATTTTTTGGGTCCCCAAGTCTCAGTTATTAAACATCCAGAAGAGAAGCTTAATGACATTACACTGTAATAGAGGCAGTAAGCTTAACATTACTATCTGAATATCAGACACCTTAGAACATAAAATGAAACTGCTATTTTCTTAACAACCATGGATATCCTATCAGTTAAATCCCTATAGAATGTTAACAGGCAATAGTTATACATTTGTACATTGAAATTA